CACTGCAGATAAAGGTTGGTTATACACCTAGTTACACTGCAGATAAATGTAGGTTATACACCTAGTTACACTGCAGATAAAGGTGGGTTATACACCTAGTGACACTGCAGATAAATGTAGGTTATACATCTAGTCACACTGCAGATGAAGGTGGGTTATACACCTAGTCAAAGTGCAGATAAATGTAGGTTATACACCTAGTCACACTGCAAATAAATGTAGGTTATACATTTAGTCACACTGCAGATGAAGGTGGGTTATACACCTAGTCACACTGCAGATAAGTGTAGGTTATACACCTAGTCACACTGCAGATAAAGGTGGGTTTTACACCTAGTCACACTGCAGATAAAGGTGGGTTATACACCTAGTCACACTGCAGATAAATATAGGTTATACACCTAGTCACACTGCAGATAACTGTAGGTTATATACCTAGTCTCACTGCAGATAAATGTAGGTTATACACCTAGTCTCACTGCAGATAAATGTAGGTTATACACCTAGTCACACTGCAGATAAATGTAGGTTATACACCTAGTCACACTGCAGATAAATGTGGATTATACACCTAGTCTCACTGCAGATAAATGTAGGTTATACACCTAGTCACACTGCAGATAAAGGTGGGTTATACACCTAGTCACACTGCAGATAAAGGTGGGTTATACACCTAGTCACACTGCAGATAAAGGTGGGTTATACACCTAGTCACACTGCAGATAAATGTAGGTTATACACCTAGTCACACTGCAGATAAATGTAGGTTATACACCTAGTCACACTGCAGATATATATAGGTTATACACCTAGTCACACTGCAGATAAATTTAGGTTATACATCTAGTCACACTGCAGATAAATGTCGGTTATACACCTAGTCACACTGCAGATGAAGGTGGGTTATACACCTAGGCACACTGCAGATGAAGGTGGGTTATACACCTAGTGACACTGCAGTTAAATGTAGGTTATACACCTAGTCACACTGCAGATGAAGGTGGGTTATACACCTAGTGACACTGCAGATAAATGTAGGTTATACACCTAGTCACACTGCAGTTAAATGTAGGTTATACACCTAGTCACACTGCAGATAAATGTAGGTTATACACCTAGTCACACTGCAGATAAATGTCGGTTATACACCTAGTCACACTGCAGATGAAGGTGGGTTATACACCTAGTCACACTGCAGATAAAGGTTGGTTATACACCTAGTCACACTGCAGATAAAGGTTGGTTATACACCTAGTCACACTGCAGATAAATGTAGGTTATACACCTAGTCACACTGCAGATAAAGGTGGGTTATACACCTAGTCACACTGCAAATAAATGTAGGTTATACATTTAGTCACACTGCAGATGAAGGTGGGTTATACACCTAGTCACACTGCAGATAAATGTAGGTTATACACCTAGTCACACTGCAGATAAATGTAGGTTATACACCTAGTCACAGTGCAGATAAAGGTGGGTTATACACCTAGTCTCACTGCAGATAAATGTAGGTTATACATCTAGTCACACTGCAGATAAAGGTGGGTTATACACCTAGTCACACTGCAGATAAAGGTGGGTTATACACCTAGTCACACTGCAGATAAAGGTGGGTTATACACCTAGTCACACTGCAGATAAATGTAGGTTATACACCTAGTCACACTGCAGATAAATGTAGGTTATACACCTAGTCGCACTGCAGATAAATGTAGGTTATACACCTAGTCTCACTGCAGATAAATGTAGGTTATACACCTAGTCACACTGCAGATAAATGTAGGTTATACACCTAGTCACACTGCAGATAAATGTAGGTTATACACCTAGTCACACTGCAGATGAAGGTGGGTTATATACCTAGCCACACTGCAGATAAATGGAGGTTATACACCTAGTCACACTGCACATAAATGTAGGTTATACACCTAGTCACACTGCAGATATATCTAGGGTATACATCTAGTCACACTGCAGATAAAGGTGGGTTATACACCTAGTCACACTGCAGATAAATGTAGGTTATACACCTAGTCACACTGCAGATGAAGGTGGGTTATACACCTAGTCACACTGCAGATAAATGTAGGTTATACACCTAGTCACACTGCAGATAAATGTAGGTTATATACCTAGTCACTGCAGATAAATGTAGGTTATACACCTAGTCACACTGCAGATAAAGGTGGGTTATATACCTAGTCACACTGCAGATAAAGGTGGGTTATACACCTAGTCACACTGCAGATAAATGTGGGTTATACAGCTAGTCACACTGCAGATAAATGTAGGTTATACACCTAGTCACACTGCAGATAAATGTAGGTTATACACCTAGTCACACTGCAGATAAAGGTGGGTTATACACCTAGTCACACTGCAGATAAAGGTGGGTTATACACCTAGTCTCACTGCAGATAAATGTAGGTTATACACCTAGTCACACTGCAGATAAATATAGGTTATACACCTAGTCACACTGCAGATAAATGTAGGTTATACACCTAGTCACACTGCAGATAAATGTAGGTTATACACCTAGTCACACTGCAGATAAAGGTGAGTTGCATATTGATATTAACCACTGTTTTGGTTTGTGTGCATAGTAGATTAGTTGCACGCACAGCATTGTTTTTATTATATCAGTAATTATTACTCTCACTACAGCAGCAGTAATCAGAGTTTTATTCAAGTTAAATTAATTAATTGTTGTATGACTTCGGTAACACAAAAACATTGTTTATTGTCACCCTCGAAAAAATGATAGAGGCGGATCATTTTTTACACTGATTTCGCCGCTGCACAGCACCCTCTGTTGACAAAAAGATTTATTATTGTTGGTGTTACTTGTTAACTTGTTATTGCTCCTTTGAAGCCCGGTGTCATGCGAAAACATCATCCGTGTGCTAAATATTCCGGGATGAGTCGTTGCACATGCGCAGTGAAGTTCTTGGATTTTTCCGCAGTTTTGTAGATTCTCGTAAATACTTAGTAATGTGCATTGTTCAATAGAAACAAATGTACGGCGTATTTATATTTATTCACCAATAACTCGCACGTCAGAAGTATAGTGTATTTGAATTAAATTTGCCGAGATAATCAGTTCAGAAATGCTTTTTCAATCTCTTGTATTTCGGCAATCACATGCCTTTCCAGTACAAGTCTGTATGTTTGATATTGATTTTTAAAAATAAATATTTTAAATATAAATATAGGTTTGCATAGACAGACGCACCAGACGCATTTTTTGTAACTTAACAAGTTTATATTTTTATTGGTTATGTATGTATAATTTTTAACACATCGTGTCAGTTGTTCATACTTATAATTGTATTTTATATTAAATAAAAATAAATACACCATGCTTGGAACGTACGCTACGAGTTATTATTAGATGGATGTAAATACGCGTACTTGTAAGGTGTGAGCTATTGGTAAATAAATATAAATGCGAGTTAAAACTACATGTAAATGTATAAAAATACGCTATTATATTAGTAAATATATTTAAAATCATTGATTAAATATAAATATATGTATATAACTTCATGGGCTCAATCGATAAGATATAAAACATCTGTGTGGTCGAAACTATTTCCGGGGTGTCGAATTGTGGCCGACTACCACCCACCGTATATTTCATACGTATCAGGGGGAAATTCTTCTCTCTCTGGGTTCTCCACACTTGTCAGGGGGGGATCTCGTCTCGTCTCTATATCTCGTCCCCTTGAGGTACGGGATCGGGGAAGTCACTTATACTTTACAGTCAAATAAGACACACACAACGAAATACGTTTCAACTCTCGTCTTAGTCGATCAGTCGAGCACTCTATAAGACACAGCGCCCTGGAGAAAAATCCCCAAGACTATCGCAAGGCTGACCCAAGACTCTCTTAGACTGCGTCCACACTCGCCCCAAGGCTCTCCAGGACTGGACTCGACTGCGTCTATCGTGCTGTGCTCCCCAAGACCAACTCAAACTCTCTTTATTCATTTTCAAAACTCTAACCAATTACAAAGCAGTAAAAAGACTCTAGGGCGTAACCTTCAATCATAAAGCCAATCACACTAAGTACTGAATACGTCATATCTTTTGATTAATCGTTCACTACATTAATAACTACGGATGTCAAAATAGCAACGGTTATCTGTAATTAGTTCCAAATCACTGAGCCAAGTTCCGTCCAAAACTTCAAATAGGCCTAAACGATGACAGACATAACACAGCAATTCAGCTAATAATCAGCTAATTAAGTAGATTAACAGATACGCGAAAAGAAATTCATGACACATATTACAATTATTGAAATTATTTGTTGCTGGAAGTCATGAGATTTTCAGGAATACTGACGTTGTACATAATACGTGTCGCATTTCTTGAAAATTCAACTATTCTATTGTTTTACTAGAATAAAATGTGAAAAACTTGAAAATGTCTTTTCTAGTTCCCTTCTATTGATAATTCCACAAACATCTCAAGAATGATTCCGTATCATTTTTTTTATCAAACATGAAAAAATAATTGCTAAGAATTGAGAATAGTTGATATCGTCACAAAAAAACAAAACAAAAACAAACGCCTATAAAATCAAGAATGATTCCATATCATTTTGTTATCAAACATGAAAAAATAATTGCTAAGAATTGAGAATAGTTGATATCGTCACAAAAAACAAAACAAAAACAAACACCTATAAAATCAGTAGTTTTCAAGAAGTCGTCGGAAATAGCGGTTTTGACAAAATGACCCAAAATATTCACAAAAATACAATATATTACCAGGCTACTGGTTTTTAACAAGAAGATGTTGAATGACGAACGATAGTTGCTGTGTCAACTTCTACTTATTTTCATTAAGCTTAAAAGCTATTCCTTACAACATACCATGATGATTATTGTTTCGATTGCATAGAATATTTCGTTATGGGTCAATTCGTAATAGTCGATTTTTATTGCATGTATTTTTTAAGGGTAAACACGATGTATTGAACACTGCTATGACAACGGGTGAATACTTAATAGATGGTGTGGACTACGTTGATACGTGGAAGGTGAGTGAAGACGACTCAGAAATAATTCATGCACGTTTCTAAAGCTATGTTTATTGTGTTAATATATAAGATATAATATTTATTAATTGTATAATGGTCTCCGGCCCATTACAATCATACAAATTAATTATTGACAAGAAATAAATTTATATTACAAAATATGTATGAACATATAGATGTAGAGGGTGTCAATAGATAATATAAGCACTATATAATGTGATGGAGATATTAATATTTATACACATACAAACTTATTCTCATTTGATCTTTGATTAAAAAACACTTATAAATAAATAGAGCTAACGAGGTAATGATTTGGCTTTTAGAGGAACTTAATAATTTTACTGGAGTATTCAAATTTGGGGATTGTGTCTCATTTGGGAGATATTTTCTCCTGATTGTGTCCCATGCAGTACATTTTAGTAAAAAATGTAATTTCAATATCCTTGACCCGTTCACAAAATTTGTACATGAACATATCAGAGTCCCCCACCCCTTGATTAAACCAGACATAACCAAATCCATATTTAAATAGCAATATTTCACACATCTTTTAACATGGTAACAAAATAAGAGGTAGTCTCCCACAATCCCCTAATACTGTCCAAGTTGGAGCCTACAATAGATTTATGTACACTTTCTAAATGTTGATATTGACCATATCCCCAAATTTCAGACCAATATGTAAGTACAGGTTGAATTAAGGTGTCAAAAATCTTAAAATACATAACTGCTTTAAAACATTGCATATTTCCTAAGTATCTTTTGATCGCAATAATTTTTTTTTTGCCTTTTATAGCTAAATTGTCTGTGGTAATATTAAAAGAGCATTTACATGAAATTACCATCCCCAGGTATTCGTATGAACTAACAGTACTAATTTGCTTGTCCTCGAAATACCACTTTTCATATTTACTGAGATATCCCCCATTTCTGTATACTACAATTTTAGTTTTAATTAAGTTGATATTTAGATCCCACTTGTTTGTAAACTCATACAATATACTTATTAGTCTTTTCAAGCCCAGAATAGAATTTGAAAATAAAGCAATGTCGTCAGCATACAATAATGAAAACAACTCTAACATGTCGTTTGGGATCAATTGTATTCCTCTATACTCAGAGTCATCCAACATGCTTTGTAGCTCATTAATGTAAAATGAGAATAAAATAGGGCTGATCATGCATCCTTGTCTTGAAGTGACCCCTCATTCACGAACACATGATTTGACATCTTTATAAATACTTTGTAAAATTACATACATTTTCCCGTTGATACCATTATTGGCCAGTCTAAACAATAAAAAATCCCTGTTAACCGAGTCGAATGCCTTCTGGGAATCTATATAGAGGCAATACAATTTTCCCCCTTTCCTGTCTAACTGTTTCTGAATTATGGCATATAATGTAAATATTTGATCAATAGTTGAATAGCCCTTCCTAAATCCAGCCTGTGTCTCTGGGATTATATCAAAAACCCTTGCCCATTTTGATAGTCATGCTTCAATGATACTGGTGAAGATTGTTCCAAATATACTCATGAGTGATATAGCTCCATAGTTACCGGGATCATTTCGACTATTTTTCTTGTGCATAGGAATAATAATACTTTTTTGACCAACCTTCTGGAAAATTGCCAGTATTAAAAACTAAGTTAAAAAGGGCATTCACAAATTTTATCGACTCATCACATGAAAATTTAAAAAAATCAGCAATTAAAAGATTAAAAGGACCTTCAGATTTGCCATTTTTATATTTATGTATTGACTGAATAATTTCGTCATTCGTTATTGGCGCATTCAATGTCGTGTCGTTTGTTGTGTTAATGTTATTTAAAGAAATAAATTTTTTTTTTCAAAACTGCAATATTAATTAATTAATATTAGTACTAATTCCTAATATATAAATATAATGCCATCGATTTCACAATATTTGTTATAAGGTTATTTATAATGAGAGTTTAAAACGTCTATCAATCAAGCAATGAAGTTTATATTGCGCCAGTATCCAATACGACGTATTGTTCAGAGGCGCTGTACAATTAGTGCTGTTAAAGGCTTTGGTAGATACGAGAGTTTTAAGATTCTTTCTAAAGGTATCTATTGTAGGTGCTTTATGGCCACGTTTCTTCTTACGCATGACAATTCTGGCTGCTGCATTCTGTGCATGTTGAAGTGGCTTGTTATTGTCTGTTGGCAATCCATAGAGTAGCGCATTTCCATAGTTGAATTTAGTACAGAGTGGTGCTTGAAAAAGTTTTTGGCAGGTGTGTTTTGAGAGATAGTGGCGTATATGTCCATAACATGGAGCATCATTGATTTGTTCACACCTTTGTGAATGGCTATTAGATCTATAATAATAACATGTACTCATATTTTGGTTTTATGGCAATGTTCAAGCGTAGTAATCTGTTCCAGTGTCAATAGAACGCAATATCACGCAATTATAATTTCATGGAAAAGGTGTGACCTACCTACACATATCAATTGTCATTCTGAGATAGAATTGCGTGATCTTTTTATTCACTTACTTACTAAACAAATAAACAAATAAATAAACAAATAAATAAATAAATAAATAAATAAATAAATAAATAAATAAATAAATAAATAAATAAATAAATAAATAAATAAATAAATAAATAAATAAATAAATAAATAAATAAATAAATAAATAAATAAATAAATGAATGAATGAATGAATGAATAAATCGATGAATAAATAAATAAATAAATAAATAAATAAATAAATCGATGAATAAATAAATAAAGCGATGAATAAATAAATAAAGCGATGAATAAATTAATAAATCGATGAATAAATAAATAAATCGATGAATAAATAAATAAACAAATAAATCGATGAATAAATAAATAAACAAATAAATCGATGAATAAATAAATAAACAAATAGATAAATAAATAAATAAATAAATAAATAAATAAATAAATAAATAAATAAATAAATAAATAAATAAATAAATAAATAAATAAATAAATAAAACTTACGTCAAGGTTTACTAATGCTAACTTCGTTTTATACAGATTATGGAAACATTTGTCGATGAAGGTCGTGCCAAGTCAATTGGTGTGTCCAGTTTTAACCAAAAGCAATTGGAGCGAATTATGGACGTGGCTAAACACAAACCAGTTACAAACCAGGTAAGACGTGTAACCATACTTGGCACAATCACATTAAATCAAGCATATCAAGTATATTCTCACTGTGATATGAAGAATCAGTTGGTTTGTCGGTACTAGAGATCGTGGTAATTGATCGCCAAATCTAACATAATTTGTTATTGTTGTAATCACTGAGAATCCGTTGCCCTACGTGTCCACCATATACTTCTATTCCTAAATGGTCAAATCAACAAGGAAAAATAGCCATTATTTATATTTAAAAATGCTCTAAACCAAAAATAAAATATAGTCAATCTTTGATGCTGCCCTCTAGGGTGAATAATAAGAACATCCCATAGTATCATTTTCGCTTATTTCTATGGTTACACGATGTTGTATTCTATAAAATTACACAATCACCAATTCGTAAACGCAACGTTATGAACGTACCATTTGCGCACTAAATGTGTTGGATTTTCCCTGCGTTCATAAGGTAACAATGTTGCTACAAAACACAAAAATACAGTTGTAATGTGATAAAGAGTTTGACAATTATTTGTCCCGGCGAGTATTAAAGATCTTCGAAGTTATTTTGAGGGAATGTTTTTGAAAACTGTTATCAACCAAAATTTGAAAACAAAAGCGGGAAATAACTTGGCCACACAGTGACATATAGATAAAAATAACACGTTGTAAAAATCTTCGGATAAAATATAGAAACAATTTTTCAATGAGTTCAATGGCATGTACTGGGTACTTTTGTCCAGGTCATGATTGTTATTTGTTGCTAACTATAATCTATACAAGTTTATAAGTAACTATAACCCCCCCCCCCAGAATAATGTTGAAAACGATTTGTCACGAAAAGCACAAAATCTAAAGCTCCTACGATGCATACAGGGGTATGTACAAGGAAATATACTTTTAAAAACGTTTAATTATTTGTAATTGTACGAATACGGATGATTATTTTACATGTAATATGTGGCAATGTACACAAAAACGAATACCAGTGCATTAAAAGTGGTGTTATTTAGAACATGATCAGAAAACAACGTTGCACAAATCACTAATCAATGAGAAAGACATGATTCGTGACGTAACTCAATATAGTTGGTTTAAATTTACAGATTGAACTCCATCCGTATTTTACCAGAAATGAGTTGACAAGTTGGTGTCAGTCGAAAGGCATTGTTATCACCGCATTCAGCTCACTTGGGGCTATTGACAGGCCTTGGTGAGTTTATATGTTAAGCAGAAATACTACGCATTGTCATATATAACCACATTATACAGAAGGAGAAAAGTT